CCCACCCAGCCTTGCCCAGGGCTTGCTCCTGCCTGCACTGAGACCCCTCGGCTGGACCTAGAAGCCAAGCCTGGGGTAGGGCCTCAGCGGCAACTGCAGGCTGTCCATGTGCCCAGACGGCGGCTTGTGAGCCTGAGGTGGGCCCCTGAGGCTGCCTGTCCACTGGCCCAGGCAGGGCGCTCTGGACACCTGGTGATTCCAGGTGGAGAGTGGAGCTCAAGCGCCTGCTGGTTGTGCGTGCAGAGTCCGGAGGCTACAGTCAGCAGGGATTCATTTTGGAGAGTACAGAACAACTTTTTGTTTTTATAAACCAGCTTTTGAAGGTTGATTTTAAAAACTTGGGCTGACAGGGTCTGAGAGGATGCATTTGCCTTTAGTAGAGTTTTGAATTTTGTGGCAGAGTGTCCGTGACAGTTAAGGGGTAATGGGACAGATTCAGCTCCCGACATGAGACCCACTGCACAGGTGCACATCGGGGCAGCTCTGCCTGCCACGCAGCTCTGTGCACATCAGAGTGACCGCGTGATTTCCTCGCACAGAAAATAGCTCTTCTGGGCTGACACCTGTGCCCTGGGCCTGTGGACACCCTGTCCAGGCAGCATGCCTCCATGGTTATTCGAACAGTAAGAAGAAACGCAGGGATTTCTTGATCCACGCAGGCAGGTGGATGACCCGGGCACACGGCGTTCCTGTTAAATTCTAAGTGTGGATAAGACGGCTGCCGGGCCGCTCTTTCCAGAGCCTCTTCATGTGGCTACTAATAGTGAAATACATCTTAGATGGCTTTTTAAACATAGCATTTAGGGTATTTTTTTCTCCTTTCAAAAGAGAAGAATCCCTTCCAAAAGTAGGCGAACCGGAAAGGCCCAGCCTGGCCGCTTTCCGCATGAGTGGCCACGACTTTGCTGGATTGAAAGGCGAAGGGAACAGGCCAGCTTTGGCCCGTTCAGCCCGGCCTGATCACTCCTTTACAGCCTGTGAATGAGGCGGCTCCGGGGAGGGGTGGGGGGTGGCCGGCCCCTTCCTGGGCCCTGGGGTCCATCCGATGTTTGTCCTTCGGGAGCCCGCCTGAAGTGCTGAGATAAAGCAGTTTTTAAACAGTCTCCCGCAGATGCCTTTTGGGAGTCAGAGCCATGAATTTCCTGAGCCGTGTCCTGGGGTGGCTACAATGGCCGTCTGGCTGCCAAGGCTTCTCCCATTCAGGGAAAGCAGCTTAAGCCACTTAAGCCCATTAGCATCTGGATGGGGCCGGACCTCCTTGGGCCGCGGCGATGGGCAGGGTGGCCGCTGCGCCCTGGCTGTTTGGGTGCTTGTTCTAATCCTCACACTGTTTGAAGGCTCCAGACTGATTGTGACACATGGAGTCCAAAAGCCACTTTGGAGGCCTGACCCGATCAGCCGGTCTGTGCTCTGAATGTCAACGGCCTGCCCTGGAGTGTGCTTTGGGGATAGCGGTTGGCCGCCTCCTGGCCCAGGCTGGGACGCTGCGCACCAGCCACAAGGAGGTGGACCCTGCATCTTAGCAGGAGGCGGGTCAGGCCACCGAGGGGCCCTACAGTTCCTCTCAGTTCCTGCTGAGCGCACGCCCAGAACCTACACAGGAAGGCCGGGCACCGGCCCAGGGGTGTCCTCCTGATGCCCGGCTCTGAGCCCCAACCAGCGCCCGGGGCATTGGGGTGCCCCTCAGCAGCACCAGCTCCCAAGGGCCCTTTCAGGGAGAAATTTTTAAAGCCAAAGTTACTTTTGGTGCCGTCGTCATTTTATAAAACGAAACTCATATATTATTTTCTTAAAAAAACAGCTTTCTAGTCCAGGTGCAGCTACTCACATCTGTAATCCTAGCACTTTGGGAGGCTGAGATGGGACAATCGCTTGAGCCCAGGGGTTCACAGCCAACCTGGGCAACATAGCGAGACCCTGTCTCTACAAAAATTTAGAAAATAGGCCGGGCGCGGTGGCTCACGCCTGTAATCCCAGCACTTTGGGAGGCCGAGGCGGGCAGATCACGAGGTCAGGAGATCGAGACCATCCTGGCTAATACGGTGAAACCCCATCTCTACTAAAATGCAAAAAAAATTAGCCAGGTGTGGTGGTGGGTGCCTGTAGTCCCAGCTACTCGGGAGCCTAAGGCAGGAGAATGGCGTGAACCCAGGAGGCGGAGCTTGCAGTGAGCTGAGATCTGGCCACTGCACTCCAGCCTGGGCGACAGAGCGAGACTCAGTCTCAAAAAAAAAAAAAAATTTAGAAAATTAGCTGGGCAGGCCGGGCGCGGTGGCTCAAGCCTGTAATCCCAGCACTTTGAGAGGCCAAGACGGGCGGATCACGAGGTCAGGAGATCGAGACCATCCTGGCTAACACGGTGAAACCCCGTCTCTACTAAAAAGTACAAAAAACTAGCCGGGCGAGGTGGCGGGCACCTGTAGTCCCAGCTACTCAGGAGGCTGAGGCAGGAGAATGGCGTGAACCTGGGAGGCGGAGCTTGCAGTGAGCTGAGATCTGGCCACTGCACTCCAGCCTGGGCGACAGAGGCCTGTAGTCCCAGCTACTCGGGAGCCCAAGGCAGGAGAATGGCGTGAACCCAGGAGGCGGAGCTTGCAGTGAGCTGAGATCTGGCCACTGCACTCCAGCCTGGGCGACAGAGCGACTCCGTCTCAAAAAAAAAAAAAAAAAAAAAAAAAATTTAGAAAATTAGCTGGGCAGGCCGGGCGCGGTGGCTCAAGCCTGTAATCCCAGCACTTTGAGAGGCCAAGACGGGCGGATCACGAGGTCAGGAGATCGAGACCATCCTGGCTAACACGGTGAAACCCCGTCTCTACTAAAAAGTACAAAAACTAGCCGGGCGAGGTGGCGGCACCAGTCCCAGCTACTCAGGAGGCTGAGGCAGGAGAATGGCGTGAACCTGGGAGGCTGGAGTGCAGTGAGCTGAGATCTGGCCACTGCACTCCAGCCTGGGCGACAGAGCGAGACTCCGTCTCAAAAAAAAAAAAAAAGAAAATTAGCTGGGCATGGTGGTGCATACCTACAGTCCCAGCTACTCAAGGGGCTGAGGTGGGAGAATCACTTGAGCCCAGTCAGTCAAGGTTAAAACGAGCCTTGATCACGCCACTGCGCTCTGGCCTGGATGACAGATCAAGACCCTGTCTCCAAAAATAATTTTTTTATTAAAAACAAGCTTGATTGAGATATAATTTACACAGAAACTATAATCGAATTCTAGACTATCCCTCCATATAATCCAGTTCAGACTATCCCTTCAGCACCTGCCCCAGTCAGTTTCCTCCCGGTCCCCGCAGTCTCCTCGCTGCCTCTGTCTCTCCGGCTTCGCCATGTCTGGGTATTTTGTGTAAATGGAATCTACAGTCTGTGGCCTTTTGTGTAAGGCAGTAGCTGCGCTCTCCTCCATCCACACCAGCGATGCAGAAGCACCGGTGCCTCTGCCTGCCGTGGGCACGGGCCCTCGCTGTCCACACGAGGTGCCTCTGCCTGCCGTGGGCATGGGCCCTGGTTGTCCACACGGGGTGCCTCTGCCTGCCGTGGGCATGGGCCCTGGTTGTCCACACGGGGTGCCTCTGCCTGCTGTGGGCACGGGCCCTCGCTGTCCCTGCAGGCTTTGATTTCTCTTAGATGTGGGTCTCACATTTCCCTTGTTTGGCGAGATCCTAGGCATTCTTGTTTTCATGACTTCTGCCAAGCTTGGAGAGCTCAGTGCCCACAAGGGCCCGGGTTGGAGCCAGGCGCTCCCCATGGCCATTCCACCCAGGGAGGGTCTCAGCTCTGTCCTCCCTTTAGGGACTGACCCTCAGTGATCATTCCTTGTCCACACGGGGTGCCTCTGCCTGCTGTGGGCACGGGCCCTCGCTGTCCACACGGGGCTTTGATTTCTCCCAGATGTGGGTCTCACATTTCCCTTGTTTGGCGAGATCCTAGGCATTCTTGTTTTCATGACTTCTGCCAAGCTTGGAGAGCTCAGTGCCCACAAGGGCCCCGGGTTGGGGCCAGGCGCTCCCCATGGCCATTCCACCCAGGGAGGGGTCTCCAGCTCTGTCCTCCCTTTAGGGACTGACCCTCAGTGATCATTCCCTGCATTGTCCTGTTAAAGCAAGAAGAATTTTCAAAACAGGCCTGAATGTCATCCTTCACAGTGATCTGCGCCGGCCAGGACCGTGCCTCCTGGAGCAGCTCAGCTGTGCAGTATGGCAGAGAGGTCGGCTCTCACTCAGCCTCTCTCCTCTGCTGCCCAGATGGCTGCCCCTTCCCGTAGCCGGTCGGGCCACTGAGCATCCGTGGGCACCAGAGGCCACAGCCCTGACCCTGCGGCACTCCTGCCTCAGCCCCTGTGCTTAGTCCTCCCGGCCAGTGTGGTCTCCAGGACCCTGGCGCAGCCCCGAGCTCTTCTTGGGTCCTGTCCACCTGCCTCTGGGCCCCTGCCCACCCCAGCCTGCACCCCAGGGACTGGTTTGAGCCAGTTAACACCACAAAGCAGGCGTGTGACCTTAGCCGTCCCTCCCACATCGGCTTCATCAGATGAGCCTGTTGAGACCATTCCCGGTCAAGCCTTCTGCAACCCTTGCCCATTGTCGCAATCAAACAGCTCTCGAGGGAATTCAGGGACGGGAGAGAGCGAGTGGGAGGAAACTGGCCAGGTGCCCCCCAGGCACCCTCTGTGCTGTTCTGAGTGCTGCCGTGCCTTCGGAGCCTGCTGGTCTTGCTCTGGCTTTTGCCCTGAAGCAGCTCTGTGGGCAGCAGCAGCTCTGGGGTAGCCTCACGGCTGCAGCCACGCTTTGCTGGGGAGCAGCCAGCCCCAGGCCCTTCGCACGTGTGAGGGTCAGCTCTGGTCAGCTATTGCAGGACTGGCCCCTGACCCCAGGTGTGGAAATCTGGGTGTGACACCAGCTGCTGTCTAGAACCGGCCATCCCATCCCACTGACGCGGGCTGTTGAGTGATGCTGCCATGGGCAGGTGGGCCCCCGGGGCTTATCTCCGTTGCTGTCTTTCTGCAGACGCTCTGCACAAAAGCCACTATGCAGACGGTCCGGGCCGCTGACACCAATGAAGTGGTGAAGCTCATATTTCGTGAGTCAGACAACGACCGGAAGGTGAGTGGGGCCTGTGACTGGGCGGGTGACACATGGGGCCTGCACAGGACTCTGCAGCCTCCCTCAGAGCCGCCCTGCCTGCCCAGGGCAGTGGGGCCGGGGGACACGCTCAAGGCTAGGGGAGCTCAGGTGCTCATGGGCCGCTCTGACTTCACAGGTTATGCTCCAGTTAGAAAAGAAACTCTTCGACTACTTCAACCAGGAGGTTTTCCGAGACAACAACGGCACCGCGGTGAGTTTGTGGTCCAGTGTGGCAGCTCGTCCGTCCGGGGACACCCATGCCCCCAGGCCCTCCCATTACTTCTGCTTACCTGGGACCACCCTGCCTTGTCCCTGCCACCTCCAGGGCTCAGCTCTGAGCCGGTGCAAAGCAGACTGCCGGGGACACACGTTGGGTGCGTCCTGCACCCCGGGCCGGGTTAGATGGAGGCTCCGTGTCACTGTCCTGTCCACAGGCAGCATGACACTCACTCAACCCATCAGCTTCAGAGACCCCCACGTGTGTGAGGGGAGCCGCTGGTGCTGTGGGGTGGGGAGGAAACCCCCTTGTCTCAGAGTGGGCCGGCGGGGCCTCGGGCTTCGCTCTGAAGTGGGAGACCGAAGGGAGCAGGTTCCCCACACTCCCGTCGCTAGACTTGCTGTGTGTGGGTCTGTGTGTGGGCACGTGTGTGTGCGCTAGTGCTTGCGTGTGCACACGAGTGCATATCTGCATCTGTGGGATGGGTGTGCCGCTGTGTGTCCATGAACACGTGTGTAAACTGAGATGTGCGTCAGTGGGAATGTGAGGCTCAGATCAGTCCACGGAGAGGCGGCCCCTGCCAGAGGCAGCCCTGGCTGCTGGACCTGCTGTCGGTTTTGAAATCGTGAGTCTTCCCTTCGAGGGATTAGTGTAGGCGAGCGCTGAGGGGTGGCCTACACACTCTTTTTACAATTTTATTTTTTTATTGTGGTCTACTTTTGTCCCATTTTTGGTGTATTTACAAATGTTTATCAGCGTAAAGAACCACATAGTACCTGGCTGGGGCCCACTGTGGCGAGTCCAAGCCACACGTGATGCCGTGTGCAACGAGCCAGCGTCCAGGATCTGGAAATCTCGGCGTCGGTTCCTAGGGCTGTCCCGAGCCAGCTGTGGTCCCCCCGGCACTGCGTCAGGGCAGGCGGCCCGTCCTCAGGGAGTGGCTGTGTGAAAGGTGAGGGAGCACAGGCGGGTGGGCCCAGGCCGGTGCAGCTGCCTTCACATCATAGCGTCCTGGGCCAGCTAGGTGTCCGCGCCTCAGTTTCCCCTCGTGGGGTGTGAGGGCTCACGGGTCAGTGCATGCGAAGTGCTTAGGGAGAGCTGGAGCCTCTCAGTGCCAGACAGAGGGGCATGCCCAGCCCAGCAGACACCGCCAGCCCCTAGTCCCAGGTCCAGAACCTCCACTCCAGGATGGCATTTACTGCCTCCCCAACGGCCCCCAGATCCCACACTCCGGTCCTCTCGGGAAGTCACTCCTGCCTCCTGCCCCTCATCAACCCAGAGCCCGAGGCTCCCGTGATGTCCACGCCTCCGCGGTGCCTGGGCCTTCTGTGCCAATTCCCTCTCACCTGCTGCAGGAGCCCATGGCCCCTTTCCCCACTGGGGTGGGTCAGGCCTTGGTGTCCTGTCCCCACAGGGCCCCATCAGCCTGGGAAAGCCTGAGGTCTCCTCCTCTTCTCTTCATCCAGGCAGGCTGGCTTTCCTCCTGCTCCATCTGTGGGAGGCACCGGGCACTCTCCCCAGCTCCACCACCTGTGCCTGGTGGAGCCCCTCCCCCCTCCTTCTCAAGCCTCCAGAGCCTGGTGGGGCGGCCTGCCTGTGGCTCCCACTGCCCGTCTGTGGCTCTTCCTGTGGGACTTTGGGCCCCAGGGTGCTTCCAACTGCAGGACACTCCCAGGTGGCACATCCCGGCCTCATCAGTGGGGAGCAGGGAGAGCCTGGGGAGCGTAGGTGTCTGCGTGGAGGCAGGTGCGCAGGAGGTGTCTGCGTGGAGGCAGGTGCGCAGGAGGTGTCTGGGTGAGGGAGGGCGCCCAGGAGGTGTCTGGGTGGAGGTGGATGCCCAGGAGGGAGACAGGGCTGTTGTCCTCGCAGCTGCATGGCTGCCGGAGCTTGGAGGAGGTGCTTTCGGGGTCCCTAGCAGGGCTGGCTCCTCAGTGCCGCGAGGTCTCCAGGTACCTTGCACAGGGCGTGAAGAAAGTGGAGGGTTCTTGCAGGAGGATGCCAGGGCGGCCTAGAGAGATGGCACGTTCTGGAAGGAGCAAGGTGACAGGGAAGAGGGAGGCTCCATGGGCCACAGGTAGGGTGGTAGCGGGGGACAGGTTCCGGCTGGGGCTGCGTGGAGTGGGGTGCGGCATGGAGGGGGTCACTCGGCGTGGAGCCGGGCGCACGGCATGGAGGGGTGCGTCCAAAGCATCTGGGAGCAATTGTCTTTCGTATGGGTCCAAAGCCCTCCTTTTCTCTCAGCATTTCGACACAGAGCACACCCTGCTGTTGGCAGCCACCATGCTGTACAGTGTTTCCTACCTTTAGAAGAAAACTAACCTGAATATTTGAGAGAACTTTTGGATTTGATTCCAAACAAAAGCACCCTGTGGGGTTGAAGCCACGCGAGGCACCCCGTGTGATTGTGGAGGCCCCACGCACTGTGTCGATGACGTCGGGAGTCCCGTGCAGAAAGGCGGCCCGAGCTCAGGAGGCGCCTTCCCAGGCTGTTTCTCATGATTTCTCCAAAGAGCTGTGAGTGGAGCCGATGGCTCGGCATTGCTGTCCTGCTTCTCAAATCCTCTCTGCTTGGTGCCTGGGACGACGGCGCCTTCGGGAACGCCCCATGGGTTCCTGCTGACCTGGGTGCCGGCACACCGAGTCAGTCGTGCCCAGAAATTGGGAGTTGTCCCCATCGACGTCGGGTCAAGATGGTCAGCCCATCTCCACGGTCCGGTTAAACACACAGCACCACAGCCATGGAGAACACACTCTCCGTCTGCAGGATGGATGTGCCTGCACCGGACGCAGCCCCAAGTCCATCGCATCCTTCATCAACCGCCGGTCTTGTACCCGTCTGACAGAAATTTAATTCAAGCTGGCTCCTGAAAATAATTATTGTATTTTAAGAGTAGTAATCATTGGCCGGGACATGATTGAATGTGTCCATGCCTATTGACTTTTCCTATGATTTATAGCTTTGTTTAGTCGATATTCCCATCGAAATTGTATAATTAATTATAAGTGTGGCTGTCAGGGCTGCAGGATGGAGTGCCCTGGTGAGGATTTGGAGAGATTAAATTTTCTTCGGCTGTCCCAGGGCTGGGCTTGGGAGTTTCCGCAGCGCCGGCCTCTTGGAGGGAGGTGTTTTCTGTGTGTTTAGCAACCGCTGTAGCCTCAGGTGCATTGATTTTCTGGGCCTCGTTCCTTTATCAGCGCCGGTGTCTCTGCAGGAGCGGCGGGAGACGCGGCCGGGACAGCTCCTGACAGATGCGCAGGATCAGCCACTGCTTTGTCATTGTCCACACGGCCCTGCCTGCCTTCACTTTGTAATCAAGAAGAATGTGGGAGACCTTGCAAAATTGGTGATCATGTTTGTGAAAAATCTCAGAGAGATACAAATTATCAATTCAACAGCAGCGCATGCAGTTTCTAATCAGAAACCTCTCCTGTCTGGTATTTTGTTCCAGCTGCAGCAGGGGCCACACACAATTCATTCTGGGGGTGACAGCCCCCATGCCGGCCATGCAGGGTGAGGCTCCTTCCAACTTCTCAGAGCTGGTAGCCGAGCAGGGACATGCTGGGACCCTCCCACCCCACAGGATCCCCCCGTCACACGGCCGCCATGGTCCCTTCGCAGCTTTGCATTTGCATCACGGTCTGGTGAACCTCTGCCTCCCCTGTAGGCAGGAAGGCCCCAGAGGGTAAAGACCACGTGTCCGGAGTGTCTGGCACAGTTCCTGACGCAGGAGCAGCACGGGGAGCCCGCATCCGATGAGGATGGAGGCAGGCCCAGGCCAGGACGCCTCTGTCTGGAGACAGGCTCACAAGTGAGCAACGGGGATTCCCAGCCGGGCTGCCCCGGGGTTTTCTCTCAGACACCGGGCTCAGGGCTGGTGAGTGTGGGTGGGGGCGAGTGCCTATGGGCCTGGGGGCATCACAGAGGACAGAGGACAGCCTGGGGCCCGCATCCCTCCACACCCTGGCTCCGGTACGTTTAAGCAGCTTGAAGGTTCAAGTTCATTTCAAACCACACATGAATTTCCTTTTATTTTTGCTTTGCACTGCCAAAACTGGGGGCCTCCTAACTCAGAAGACAGGGTGGGAAAGTGGCCTTGGTCCACTGAGCAGTCCTGAACCACCACCACCCAGGCAGGACACTGGCCGAGGAATCCCGTTCAATCCCCATGGGAAGGAGGGGCCCCCAGCCACCGAAAACCTCGGGCAGCCCCAGCCTGCTCCTCCTTCCTGGAGTTTTCCGGCTTCCCCACAGCTTGGCTTGGGGTTGTGCTTCTCGGAGTGTGTGTGTGTGTGTGTGTGAGCGTATGTGTGAGCGTGTGTGTGTGTGCGCGCGCACAGACGTGTGAGAGTGTGTGTGTGCACAGACTGTGTGTGTGAGCGTGTGCGCACAGACGTGTGTGTGTGTGTGCGCGCACAGACGTGTGAGTGTGTGAGCGTGTGCGCACAGATGTGTGTGACCAGGCATATGCATGTGAGCCTGTATGAGTATGCATGAGTGTGTGTGCATGTGCATGTGAGCAGGTGAGTGCATGTGTGAGTGGATGTGAGCATGTGTGTGTGCAGGCATGTTCGTATGAGCATGTGTGAGCATGTGTGAGCAGGCATATGCTTGTGAGCAGGCGTGTGTGAGCAGGTGCGAGCGTGTGTGAGCAGGTGTGTGTGTGTGAGCAGGTGCAAGCGTGTGTGAGCAGGTGTGTGTGTGAGCAGGTGCGAGCGTGTGTGAGCAGGCATAGGCATATGAGCAGGTGTGTGAGCAGGTGTGACGAGTGTGTGAGCAGGCATAGGCGCATATGACAGAGTGTGTGCATGTTTGTGAGCAGATGTAGGCATGCATGAGCGTGAGTGGGCATGTGCATGAGCCTGTATGTGAGCATGTGAATGCATATACATTTAGGTGTGTGTGTGAGCAGGCATATGCGTGAGCAGGTGTGTGTGTGAGAAACAGGCGTGAGAAGCGGCGTGTAGTGATGTGTGTGTGGAGCAGGTGTGTGTGT